TCAGACAGCTCTTTGTTGTGGGGGCTGTTCTGTGCGTTGTAGGACGTCTAGCAGTATCCCTGCCCTTGACCCACTAGATGCCAGTAGCCCCCTCTTCTCAGTTGTGACGACCAAAATCCCCAGGAGTGCCAAATGTCCCCTAGGGGACAAAAATCACAGCCCCCCTTTTGAGACCAGGGCTCTAAGTCAGTCCTGCTGTGCACCTGGAGAGGGTGCAAGTTTCCGCCTCTCCATGCAGATGGCTCTAGTGTCAGGAAGATGGGGACGGGTGTTAAATACTGGACAGATGTTCCTGCCCAGCACATTCCCACCCGATCCCTTCCCTGCCATGGAAATTCCATCTCACAGATGGGTTTCTGTTTGTCCAGGTCACTGCACACACACACAGAGGAGCATTTGCCCTTTCTCTGGAGCCGTGTACCTGGAAGGTCCAGCCTAGGGTCAGGCCTCTCTCTCTGGTTGCCTAGGAACAAGACAATGTTTCAGATGGCCCCCCAGAACCCTAGTTTCCCCCCTCCCTTCCTTCCTCCCTTCCTCCCTTCCTTCCTTCCTTCCTTCCTTCCTTCCTTCCTTCCTTCCTTCATGACGTGCTGGACTGGGAATCCAGGACTGTGGGTAGGTGGTGGCCAACTAAATGGGGACCTAGAAAGAGATGTTTGCTTCTCAGATCTCCTTAGAGATCTAAGCACAGGAAACGTCAGCAAGCACAAAGCCTTATACCTTAATAAGGCTGAAAAAAACAGAAAAAACAAAACCACCCCACATCTCTGCCTGCTTTGATTCCCCTTACTTTCCTGTCAGCCCTGCTGTCCCTCTGTCCCTCACTTCTGTGAGAGGTGAATGCAGGTAGCTTTCCAGGGTTCTGCAAAGCTCACCTCCTCAAATGTCTATGGAGACCTTGTGCTTGTTTCGCCTGCGAGCTGATTCACCGCCTCAGTTTGGCATTTCCCGGAGACTCATACCGACTAAGCGCTTTCCAACCTCTAGGTCTCCTTACACCCCAGCCCTTCAGAAACCCATGACACTGGCAGCCAAGCGAGGGAGCCGAGGTCAGCGGAGCCACACTGCTTTGCTCAGGGCTCACATCAGGGGTCAGTTAGATGGAAGGAGTGGCTTCGAGGCAGAGTGGCAGTCCCCTCCACAGAGTCATTTGAACAATGTCACACCTCTCTTCTCAAACATCTCTCTTGCATGCAGGTGCCACACTGCCTAGGATCCTTTTGATTCTGGGGGGAGGGTGGTGGGCATTAAGTGTACCCTCTGCCATGGTGAACCCGCCTCGCCCCCCAAAGCTGTGGGAGGTGTGGGAGCCTGAGCAGGTGAGGAGCGTGCGCAGGGGGGCATCCAGCGGGGTGAGGGTGGTGGTGAGGACATGGCGGGGCGAAGAGGGCGTCTGCGTGGTGGACAAAGGGACCTGGTTCCAGGTTCAGAGCTTCTGCTGGGTGAGGGGTGTGCCCCAGGGCAGGGGCACTGCATCGGTGGCCTGACAAGAGGAGGACACCTGTGCATGCGGTGGGGGATGGGCAGTGGCAGGCTCAGGAGATGATCTACCTACAGGTGATTTGATCAATTAAGTAAATATATGAGGGATCATGGAGCCAAGTGTCTCACCATCAGAGAAGGGGTTACAAATATGGAGAAGAGTAAAACAATATTGAGCTCGGTATGTTGGTGTAAACCCGTTGGTTACCTAGATCTAGATGTATAGTATATCTATAGATATCACGTATTGAAGTGTAGATGTCAGTGTGTGTGTGTGTGGCTGTCCACTGAAAAGGCTTGGGAGCAGCGACACCCCCAGAGCAGTGGGCACACCTGGCACCCAGATCTTGGCTTCTAAATACCCTTCTCTACTGAAAGGAACTAGGGCTCCTTGGAGAAGTGGCTGGTCCTAGGGACTGGTGCAGGGAGCCTAGGAGATGAGCTGTGCCTGGCAGAACATCCAGAAGCAACTGGTATGTCCCAGGTTAGAAGATTATTAAAGGTAAATTATGGTTCATCTAAAGAGTGACTATTGAAGTCAGGTTTTTAAAGTATATGCTGACAAAGAATAGGTTTACAACACGCTATCAAATGAAAAAAAGCAGGGTACCAAAACTGATTATCAAAATGCAATTTCAACTTTTAAAAGAGTGTGTGTGAGACATAGAAGGACTAAAAGGAAATATTCCAAATGATAAATGGGGTTAAACTTGAGTAGTGGTTTCATGTATGATTTATTTGTGAAAAAATTTCAAATTTCCTTCAGTGAACACATATGTACAGCAGCGCAGTTTAATCAGTACCTGTGGCTGCTTTATTTACAGCAGAATTTGAATGTAGAGAGCACATGGGTCCCCAGTTATACACTGGACAAGTCCCAGTTAGAAATTAAACAAGTCTTTGGGGGAAAGAAATTCCCTATAACATCAGGGACTAGGATGCCTCCCATTCCTTAAGTGGAAAGCATTAGAAGTGCAGTAGATTGGAAAACATGTAACAGAGAGGCTATAAAAGGTAAGGGCTTAAAAATAGGATGGGGCCCCAGGGCAGAGTGTGAGCGCTCAGGAGCGAGAGGAGCTCCCAGCTCGGCGGCTTCCCCGCGTTAGCTGTGAATGCTGGGTCCCTCAGAGCTCTCTGGCTTCCACTTAGTGGTCTGTGAAGTGAAGGGTCTGATTAGACCAGTGGATTCAGACTCTACGTGGGGCACTGGCTCAGCTCTCAGAGACAAGTGGGGACCTGCGCTCCTGCCTGGCTGGCTTTATGCTCAGGATCCATGTGACCCCTCAGGCCCTGACCCCCTGCAGGGACCAGGGAGCACCAGGCACAGTGAAGGAGGAGTGGTGAGGCCCCCTGCAGCTGTGTGACCCAGTGGCTCTGAACTTGACCCTCTGATTAGTCCTTAGTTTTTCCTCTGTGAAGGGGGACAGTAACGCCTTCCTTATCGGCCCCCCCAAGCTGATTGGAGGAGGCAAGGCTGGCACAGAGAGGTCCCCCTACCGGAAAGTCCCGCACAGCGGCCTTCTCTGCTCCAACCCATTGCTTCCTCCCCAGAGATGCTCCTATGATGCTGCCAGTAGTGCTCACCAGTCGTGGTGCTGTTAGCTACTCAGCGTCCTGGACTCTGTCCCCAGCTGAGGTGTCCTGGGTCACACCACCGGGGAGGGGACTATCCTTCGCACCAGCCTGCCTGCTAGTCCAGGTTTCAGGCACAGCTGTACTGAGATCAAAACTTGGAGCCCTGCCCATGCCGGGGTTCTGCCGACTGCATCCCAGAAACATCTAATATCGTCAGAGACATTCAAGCTGCACAAAATATCACATCTATGTCCTGATTTGGGCAAAAGGCAGATATTCGCTAATTCATACTATTGTTTTGATCAACTTCTTAAAGGTTAATTATTTGCATATAATTAGGGACTGTGGTCTGCAAGGGCAAAGTTCAAAAAGCAAAGAACAAGTCCTGGCTCCACGGTTTGGTTGGTTGGAGCATCATCCCGTGCACCAAAAGGCTGTGGGTTCAGTTCCCGGTTGGGGCACATACCGAGGCTGCAGGTTCAATCCCCAGTCGGAGTGTGTTCGGGAGGCAACCGATGGATGTTTCTCTCTCTCTCTCCCTTCCTCTCTCTAAAATAAATAGAAACATATCTTCAGGTAAGGATTAAAAAGAAGCAGAAGAACAATATTTTAGCACTCCCAAAGAGTCTAGAAGGAAACACCAAGAACAGGTTGGAGTTGCAGCAAGGGAGATGCTCTCCAGCGGCCACTTCCCTTTTCCTCTCTCCAGTGGTGGAACTGGCATGTGTGTGTGTGTGTATATATATGTATACACACACACACACACACACACATATACACACACACATATATACACACACACATGTATATGTTTGTTATACAAGAGGAAGGAGGGGCTGTGCAAATATTTATTTTGCATTTTGGAAAGTGTGAGGAAAGTTTCTGAGAATCTATGCTTTGCAGTCGAAAATATTGAGCATTTGTCTCGGTTTCAGGTGCGGGCTTTGTTTAGCGTCTGCCGGTCGTGTGCCTGCATGGTCTGGCCTGAGGTTCGCGGGGGCGTGGACACACCTCGTTGTGAGCACCATCTGTCACAGGGCTGCTTTGCACAGCTCACTTAGTCTGAGTAGGTGCCCAGCTTTGTCACAGAACCGAGACCACGTGAAGTAAATGCCTTCTAATTGCTCACACCTTCAGAAATACTTGCGCGCTGTTGAGCATCATTTAGGGAGCTGTTTCCTTTCATTTACCTATTGCTTACGGCACTTTATGCCTTAAAAAAATGACAATAGCAGCATTGCCCAAGCATGTATTTTGTCATCACATTAAAAAAAAAAATGTTTTTATTGATTTTAGAGAGAGGAAGGGAGAGGGAGAGAGATAGAAACATCAATGATGAGAGAACCATTGATCGGCTGCCTCCTGCACGCGCCAGACTGGGGATGGAGCCCACAACCTGGGCATGTGCCCTGACTGGGAATCAAACCGGGATCTCCTGGAGCCTATGTTGATGCTCAACTGCTGAGCCACACCGGCTGGGCTTGTCGTCACATTTTAATGTGAAGAACTTGGTTCCTCAGGCCAGGAGATGGAGGCACAGGAGATGACATGATTTTCCACTCAGAAGGCGTGGACCAGACCAGAAACGGACACTAGGAATCCTGACCCTCTTGCTTTGCTGGATGCCTCTGGCATGAGCCACATGCAAATAATAATGCAGAATTAAAGACTATTGGGGGATCAAAAACAATTATTAAATCAATTCTCTCCCGGTGAAATGTCTCATTTATCATCCTTAGAAACAGAATTGCACAGTCTCTTAAACATTTTTTTCTATGAAGTTTACCTGTATGTAACCTTTTGTATGATCATAACCTGGGTCTGATTATAACACGAAGGCTATGATTCACAGTTGAAATTCTCCCTTTTACTCCAGTTCATCAATTTTCTTGTTTACTTATTTATAGAAAATTACCCAAAGAGCCGCAGCGCGAGGCCTCCTCATGGATGTGCCCAACGTCACGTCGTGTGTTGTGGAGGGCTCTGCGAACGCCTCGGCCGTCCCGAACGCCTCCTCTGGGGGCGCGCCCGAGGAAATCCCAGCCGTGCACTGGGTGATCATGAGCCTGTCCCCGCTGGGCTTCGTGGAGAACGGGGTCCTCCTCTGGTTCCTCTGCTTCCGGATGCGGAGAAACCCCTTCACCGTCTACATCACCCACCTGTCCATCGCCGACATCTCGCTGCTCTTTTGTATTTTTATTTTGACTGTCGATTATGCTTTGGACTGCGAGCTCTCTTCTGGCTACCAATACACGATCGTCACGTTATCGGCGACGTTCCTGTTTGGCTACAACACGGGCCTCTACCTGCTGACGGCCATCAGCGTGGAGAGGTGCCTGTCCGTCCTGTACCCCATCTGGTACCGATGTCATCGCCCCAAGCACCAGTCGGCGCTCATCTGCGCCCTGCTGTGGGCACTCTCCTGCCTAGTGACCACCATGGAATATGTCATGTGCATTGACGACGAAGGGCAGAGCCATTCTCAAGGTGACTGCAGGGCGGTGATCATCTTCATAGCCATTCTGAGCTTCCTGGTCTTCACCCCGCTCATGGTGGTGTCCAGCACCGTCCTGGTGGTCAAGATCCGGAAGAACACGTGGCCGTCCCAGTCCTCGAAGCTGTACATGGTCATCGCCATCACCGCTGTCATCTTCCTCATTTTCGCCATGCCCATGAGGCTCCTCTACCTGCTGTACTACGAGGACTGGTCGACGTTCGGGACCCTCCAGGGCGTCTCCCTGCTCTTCTCCACCATCAACAGCAGCGCCAACCCTTTCATTTACTTCTTTGTGGGCAGCCGTCGGAAGAAGCGGTTCAAGGAGCCCCTAAAGGTGGTTCTGATCAGGGCTTTCAAAGATGAGATGCAGCCCCGGCGCCAGGAGGACAGCGGCAACCCCGTCACCATCGAGACCGTCGTCTGAGGACAAAAATGGTGGGACGCAGGTCATTTGTAGCCTGTGCTTGAAATACAACTGAAGTAGCTCCTAAGTGTGACACAGAAGGGCCCCCACCCGGGTGCGTGAGATGCTGATTAACCATGAGCTTGCACTCTCGGAGCGTATCTTCTGGAAATGCCTAAATACGAACCTCGTCATTTCTGTACCTGTCAAAAAAACTCTTCTGTTTCGCCTCAAGCTCTCCCCGAGAACTATAAAGGTTATTCTAGCAGGAAGGCCCGCAGATGTGGACAGGAAAAGGTACCACAGGCATCTGCTGGCACTTGAGGAAGTGGAGCACTGGGTTTGGGGTCAGGTTGACTGTCACTTGCTGCCCGTGGGACATCAGGCATGTGGTTTAGCCTCTCGGAGCCCTGTCGACTCACTTAGGAAATGCCTGACAGTGTAGTCCCCTCCGGGCTCGCAGCGAGGGTGACATGGGGAGATAAGACATGCAAAGCCCTTGCCTGTTGTCAACGTTCCAGAAACGTCAGTCTCTCCCCAGTCCTTTAAGTGGAAGAAGAAACGCTCCTGTTCTGGGGAGCACACGCTGGCTCTGTCATGCTCCAGCGCTGTCGGATGGTTCCAAATGTGGAGTGTGGATTTACGGTCTTCTTTCTGATACGCGTGAGCGCTTTCCACGGCGAAGGCCGCTGCAGAAAGGCCCGCAGAGGTTACAATATCCACGCGGCCACGCGTCAGAGCATCGTTTCAGGTTGTGAACGAAAACTCTGGGCCACCCGTGGAGGGGTTGCTCGTGGCTCCCCTTCCCTCTGTGGGAATGATTAGTGTCGTGAAAGTCTGGTTCGACGTGCTTTGCTTGTCGTCGGTTTTCACGATTGGAACTTAATTCCAGATTCATTGCGTTTCCGGAACCCCGCTCCCCGTGAAGAGGCGGGTTATTTACTGCAGCCTCGGAGTTGTCGCCCGCAGCCGGTGCCCGTCTCTGGCTCTCCGGGCCTCCGCTCCTCCTGAGCGCGTCTCTGCGTGTCCTTCCCGGAAGGGGGCTGGGCGGTAGGGGCTGGTGACAGTGTGGCCACGCCTCGGAGGCAACTTGGCAGGACTTGCTCAGCGTCTTAGTGTCTTACGCTCGCCTGCCGTGGCTCAGGTCTGTGACTTCGGCAGCATGTCCCGGGTTTTAGCTGGGACCCTGTCACGGCCCGTGGATTACGTCGCTGTGCTAGTTTCCCGCTGCCTCCTCCGGGCGCCCGTGAAAACGGCGATGCTTCGTGTGGCTCTGTGGGGAGCACCGTGCTCATGCCCTTTCCTGTTTGTTTTAACTTCTCCGAAGCGCCGAGAAGTCGTGGTGAAGCGGTTCCCTTTGCCGCCTGCCCTCTCCATCCTCTTACCTTTCCTTTCAGGAGGAAACTGTCTCCTGTGAGTTCGGGGGCAGCCTCCCGGTGCAGAGATGCCAGCCTTCCCCTCGGGTGCCGGTGGGGGGCAGCCTCCCGGTGCAGAGATGCCAGCCTTCCCCTCGGGTGCCGGCGGCTTTTCAGTGGGGGACGACATCTGATTCAGAAACGAGGCGGCTTGCTCTCTGCAGCCCCAGATGGGTGTGGAGCGGTGACATTTAGAATGATCCTGTTTGTGACTGGAAACAGAGTCTTCGCTGGGAATGCGGAGAAGATGGGGATCAGAGTGCTGACCTCTGCCGCCGTCTCCGCGAGGCTGCGCTGGCCGCGTGGTCAGTGAGAAAGCGATCAGCCTCCTCTCGTCTCAGAGGGACCCCGGTGAGAAGAGGAATTACAGACTCTTAGGAACAAGGGAAATTCGATGAACTAATGGGAAGCTCCCATTAATGGCCCTTCTGCAGATAAAGTGGGGAAACCGAATGTGTTCATGAATATAAAAATTCTTCTGTTTAAAGAGTCATGATTTGCAAAGAGGTAGGATTCGGGGTTTGGCAGTGTTGTAAGGACAAATTCCTCTCTTATTTCACCTAAATTCATCCCCCAAAGTAAAGCATAAGGTAAAACTAACCCGGGAACACTTAAGTAAACGCGCCCGTGTGGAGAGCAGACTAGAGGATGTACGCTCACTGGGAATTTGGACGGTGCGCCCGAGCATCGCAGGTTAGGGGTGCCGTTTCTGAGCATTCCCTGGGCCTGACGCCTGTCCCCGATGAAGGGGAGGGCCTGTAGCATTCATGATAAAATATTCTTGGGTGGCCTCCTCCGCCAAGCTCCCGGATGTGGACAAGGCCCAGAGGAGCGGTGGACGCCGCTGGGCCCGGGGTAGGAGGGGAGACCACGCAGGCACCTACTGCTCCAAGCGGCAGACAGATCCGCGCCAGGAGAGTGCCATGAACACGCTGTGTGCAGTCAAGAGGGAGGTGAAGTCACATCCTTTGTAGTAAGAAGGGAATGTTGCGTGGAGGTGCCCTTCGGTTGAGGCTGAAGAGGGAGAGGGTTCCGGGCAGGGGACAGGCCCGAGTGAAGTCAAGGACGAGCCAGCCCTGCCTCTGCTGCTGTCGTCTTTGGCCTTCTGGCCCACGTTCTTCACGTCCTCTGGAATGTGGCTCCTGGCCCCTGTCCCCAGCCGCTGTCACTGTCACCCAGTCTTGCCGAGGCAGCCGTTCTAGCTTATCTCCACCAGCCCTGCACTCGCCCCTGTCCCTGCGTCAACTCTGCGGACCCTCGGCTTCTCTCCTTCCTGAGCTACACTCCGAGCCTTATTGCAACTGATTTCAGAGAGAGAGAGAAACACCAACGACTCTCTCCTCATTGGTGTCACGTTTCATCCTGTCCCACCTTCTCAGAGTCTTCTCATCTCTTCCATTGTCCCCCCTGCTGCTCCCCTCAATGGCCACGTTTTCTGTGACTCAGTGGCTGGGCCTCTGCTCGATGCTTCCGCCCACTCTCCCCGGGGTCCTGATCCATAATCACTTACACTTTAGTGACCCTCAACACTACACCAGCTGACCATGACCCTTTGCTGTGCTGTATCCCCCGGATGTCCTGGGGGTCCTTATAGCCACCCACCTGAAGGACATCTGATTGCTGCCCTGCAAACACCTCGGATGCACCTGCCCAGGTCCCCGCCATTCCTCCTGTGTTCCTTTCTCAGCGAATGACACCGCTAGTCACCTGTTCCCCAGACGATGGGATTCTCTTGGCATAGGTTCCCCTCCCTTGTTTTATTTAGTCTGGCAAATTCCATTCATCCGTCTAGTCCAGCTCACACGGGAGCCCCTCAGGAGCCCCTTCCTGGAATCGCCATTTCACACCCTGTCTTCCCGCATCTCTTCTCCGCCCTCACTCTCGCTGATGGCTCGCTTCCCTTTTCAGGAGAATGGCGGCAGCCAGAAGAAACCTCCCGCCCCCGACCAGCATCCTCTCCGCTGACCCACCGCATCCCCGCACCCGGGGGCGTCCCTCGTTTCCCGGCTGCGGTGAGCCCCAAGCTGCGCGCCAGGCCCGCCCCGGCGCCCGCTCCAGGATGTTCCTCCAGTGTCTCCCTTCTTTGTCGGGCACCAGCCATTTCAGGCCAGGCCAAGAGGACAGATGTTGGGGGAGATGGGGGTGGTGGTTACTGCATCATCCACCTGGCTCCCCCCCGCCCCCGTGGGGCCTTTCTCTGTAGACAGCACTGCACGCGCTGAGGTGACACCCGGAGAGCCCCAGCCTGTCCCCTCACGCCTCCCGCCCCTGTGCCCGAGGTAGATGGACTCGGGACGGTTAGTTGCCCTCATGGAGTTGTGTGAGGAGCAGCTGGCAGATGCCCATGGGGTTCCTACAATCTCGCCCCGAGTGCAAAAATTATTTTAGGTTAAATTTTGATTTTTTACCCGGAAAGGAGAACACGCCGAGTCACAGACACCTCTTGCCCCGCTTCTCCTGGGAGGGGCCTGCAGAGCAGCACCCAGGTGCCAAGGCTGCTCGCCCGCGGGGAGGGGCGGGCAGGGGCAGGAAAGGAGGGAGCCATACCGTGTGAGCCCTCCTCCCCTTTCTGGAAGCTTCTTTCTGTTTCACTCTTGGCTCTAACATTTCTAACATTACAAGGTGTGGAAAATAAAAATCCTCAAAACATGAAAACATTAATTACCAAATGTAATCACGGATGAAATTGGTTTCCAGCAAGCCTCCCTCCCTCCTTGCAAAATATTCAGGATCCTGTGAAGCTGGTAAAAGGCATCAGCCCTGGCCTGGTGGCTCAGCTGGTTAGAGTGTCATCCTGCTACACCAAGCTGTGGGCTCCATCCCCGGTCAGGGCACATACAAGAGACAACCAATGATGCATAACTAAGTGGAACAATAAATCCACGTTTATCTCTTTCTCTCTATCTCTCCCCCCCTCCCCCAAATCAATAAAAATTAAAAAAATATGAGGGGTCGGAGAATTGTTGAAATAAAATTCCAAACTATTGCCAAAAGAGCACCGGGCACAGTCAGACCCCTTTAGCAGTCGAATCAGAGGAAGATAAACGAGATGGTGATGTGATGAGAACTTCCAAAAAGAAGGGTTTTAATAGCAAAGTCTAAGGAAGGCTCTTGGGAAAAACTAATGATGTCTTCAGGTATTTTTGCAAAAATTATCCAGTTTTTTATATTCAAAAAAGTAACTATGAAATAAAAGATGTCCTATCACTGCTGGCCACGGTGAGAACACTTGGAGGCAGAGAGGCCCAGGGAGGCGTGGGCAGGTGCAGGGCCTGACTACAGGTGGCCTCAGGGTGGTCTCCGGGGTGACGGACGACACCTGCTCTGGCGGGATGAAAGGGGCTGCCTCACGGGGTAGCTGGACGTAGGTGAGAGATGTGTGTGAGGCTCTGAGTAAAATGGAAAACAGCCACCAAAAGTGACTTAGACAACACGCTAGGTGAAATAAGCCAGAGACAAAAGGACAAGCCCTGTGTGATTCCCCTTATGTGAGTCCCCTAGAGGCGTGAAATTCCCGGAGACAGGAAGTAGAGGGTGGCTGCCAGGAGCCGGGGGAGGGTGGAATGGGGGTGTCGGATGGGACAGTGTCAGTTTGGGAAAATGAAA